CCACCATTAATGATAATTTTGCCAGCCAGATCTCACCTCCTAAAGTCTCCAAATTCTTTAAAATAACACCATAATTCAGGATCCTTGCACACCGAAGCCTGTGAAGGATATTCAGATTCAATCCATAGTATCATACCATTGTCAATTTTACCCTATGTCTGAAAGGTAAACTACTTCTAAACATATTGCATTCTTCCTCACTCATGAAATTTTGTTCTCTCTGCCTAAAGTGCTTGATTTCCACTATATGGAGGAGACAGAAACAGAAGGATCTCTAAATCATTCCAAACTGACAAACTCCAGGTTCAATGGCAAGTGATTAAGGAAGATGGCTATGTTGACTTCTGGCCTCCACACTCACCACAAGGGGCCGGGGTGGGGGGACTGGAGCTGAGAAGAAAAATGACATGATTGCTCTTTCCTACAAAATTAAGATCATATTAATTTGTATCTACTAACTTTTTCCTCCTGGTATAACTGGAAGGCATATATGGAACTTTAAATCAGGCCTGTCCTTGACACCTTGCCTCTGAGACTTTTAAAGTGGCCAAGTCATTGCTTTCCGGAAACTCACTTGAACAGACCTAAGTACGATAGCTGTGAGAATCAAGTAAAATTGCAGAATTCAAAATATTGGATACTATCTAAGACTGCTGGTATATGCCTATGATTCAGTACTTGGGTGATGGATGGAGAAGTACTGCAATTTTGAGGCAAGCCTGATCTATATGCCCAGCACAAGACTGGGACTTAGATACTATTCAGTGACTTAAGAAGACTGTTTGTGAGAGGAAATTCAAAATGCACTTGGGATTGTTATAGGAGCACCTTGGCATTGGTTTACTACTCAGTGGTAACTGGTTCTTCTGAAAGGCTTACTGAGGACGTTTCTTGACATATCTTTATCCTGTAGAACTATTCACACTGTCCATTTGATTACTGATTAGGGCTTTAGAGTAAGGCCATGTCATGGATATATTATTCTCGTTCAAAGAAACAAATCTTTTTATGGTTCCAGAGTACATGTACCTAATAAAAATATTCCTGCTGCTCTAATGAGGGGATCACCTGACAGAAGAGTGAAGAAACAGAAGTGTGATGCCCTTCTATGCAAGATAAGGAGATGCTAAGGGGTGTGAAGTTGCTTAGCAATGGGTTCATTTCAGGGATGGCTCCATCTCAGTGATGGTTCCTGCCTATTCTGCAATGTTAGCTTATTTTAATTTGAGAAGCTAGAAGAAAGGTTCACTTCGAGTATTTTGTAAACTGATTCCTGGGTCTCCTCTTTATATCTAATCAAGCCATAAGAGGTAACCTTATGGGAGATTAAGAGTAAGGCACCATAAGGGTGCATAAGATGAGACTGGGGATTAAGAGATGTGTTCTGGATTCCTGCCTCTGTTTCCCTGCATTTAAGACAGTTCCTAAGCCCTACATTTATTTTTAATCCTTATATTCCAATCTGTAAAATGGTTACAACAAGATATATAATATAATGATAGCTGAAGAAGGGTTGGCCAACTCCAGTTTTCATTGTAATTTACGAAGTGTTTATTTAGAATGTGTGAATGAATTGCAGAAGCCTTCCCCCTCACATCTATGGAAAAATAAGGTAAGAAATAATATATCAATATTGGCAGATGACCTCAAAATAGGCTGCCATGTACTCTACCCACAGTTCACTCTGTTTTTTTCATGTTGAAGCCATTTTGAGATAGATGCATTCTTTTCTCTAAGGAGGCAGCTGTATCGAAACTGTACCATATCAAGACAGGGAGCCTTGAGGAGGGTAGTGGGACATGTGGACAAATTAGAACAAAGTATAATGATACATATGTATGAAAACATGATAATAAAGCCAATTATTTCGTGTGCTAATCTCTTAGTTATTATGCAACTTATAAAAGAAAGCAGTTAATGTGGGAGCTCATAAATCTGTACAGAGTCCATGACCATTCCAGTGGAAGCATGGGCATAATCATCCAGGCATGGTTCTGGAGCAGTAGATGAGATCTTACTTCAGGTATGAGGCATGGGAGTTAACTGAGAATGGCATTGGCTTTAGAAACTTCAAAGCTGAACCTCCAGTGACACTCACCCTCTAACAAGGTCGAATTTCCTAATCCTTCCCAAAAAGTTCCACTAAAACTATAAACCAAACATTTAAATATATGAGCATATGGGGGCCATGTCATTAAAAATAGTTAATTTAAAATAGCAATTTAAAAAGTGTTTACAAGTCCTCTCTCACCCCTCTGATATCATTGGTAATCTTACTTTCATTACTATTTTGGCTTGGTCCACAGGAGTTTAGGAAAAGTTCCATGATTTCCTTGGTCTATTGGCAAAGTACTACTCCTTGAATGGCTGACATTTGGCATATGTCAGGATAGGAGATAAGGGAATGGCTATTCAAGAACAATATAAAGGAAAGGTGGTGAAGAACTTTGTCGTAAGTAGGTCAGAAAAGCTTGTAAGAAGTAATTAATGAGATCTTATGAATTACCTAACACTGAAAAAACAAAGGATGTGATAGGAAGTATATGTATACATACAGATTCACATGAAGGAAATGTTTTAGGCTGAGGGAACACAATGTGCATAGGCTTTATAGTAAAAGGTCCATGGGACATTCAAGAAATTAAAAGAATATTACTTTGGGTTTTCAGTGGCAGTTGAAAATTTAGATGCCATTGTTTTGTGTTGATGTGCGAAAGTGAAAGTGTACCAAGCTCCAAAATACTGTTAGAGTAGATCTGACATAGTGAAATTAGAGTCACTGTGGTAAAAACACTACAATCATCAGGAACAGGTTTCCTTCCAATCTTTTTTTCAACAGAAGTAACTATATATAAGATACTCAGATAAAGTCATAGATCTTTATTGGATGGGAAAACTTGAACCTTCAATGAATCAAGGAAGGCTTCCAGTAGGTGGCAACTCCTGAAAAATGTTCTGTGTAGGATATGAATCAGTGAACAATGCGACAAAAGGTGATATTTTTCACAGAAGAGATGGCATGCACAATGTCTTAGTTAGGGTTTCTATTGCTGCGATGAAACACAATAACCAAAAAGCAAGTTGGGGTTTAAAAGGGTTTATTTGACTAATATTTCCGTATATAAGCTCATCATAGTAGGGAGTCAGGATACAACTCAAACAGGGCAGGAACCTTCAGGCAGGAGCTGATACAGAGGTCATGGAGGGGTGCTGGTTACTAGTTTGCTTTCCTTGGCTTGCTCAGCCTGCTTTCTAATAGGACCCAGGACCACCAGCCCAGTGGTGGCACCACCCACAGTGGGCTGGGCTCATCCACATTGATCACTAATTGAGAAATGCCTTATAGCTGGATCTCATGGAGACATTTCCTCAGCTGAGGCTCCTTTCTCTTTGATGACTCTAGCTGTGTCAAGTTGTTGTAAAACAAGCCAGTACAAGCAATTACTTGGTAGTGTAAGAACAATTGAGGTGGGAAATTTGGTATGAAGTATAAGGCATGAATGGAAATGCAAAGTGCCATAACTTGAACCCATCTGAGACTCTTTCCATGGCACGCCAACAATTTCTATGTGAAATATAAGATGTACTGGGTACCATATTAACAAAAATAATTGGTATTCATTGAAATATAGGCTTGAAAATACAAATTGTTATAAACATCAGTATTGGCATCTCTGACTTGATGTAGTCACACTAGCTTTCTGCAAAACTGTAGGGATAAGTATCACTGCCTATTTCTCTCCTTAGGACCTCATCACAAATTTGTATAATTAGGCACCTACCACAATTTCTAGAGTCCTACTTGGTCGAGCACTTCATTTTAGCAGTTAGTCATTCTAATAACTCTTTAAATAATAGTTCTTTCTCTGAGCATTAATATTTCCTGAAAGACTTTTACAAAAAGCATAGATCTTTCAAACAAGGTGACCTACTTTTATAAAATGGCAGGAGGTGAGGTAGATGTGTTTAAGCATGTGACATTTTCTTCTTACCTTTCAAATGGAAATTACTCCATTTTAAGCTTAACTTTGATTACAATGTGTGCTTTCTAATAAGTAGTAAAAGGTTAGGTTAAAATAGAGACCTATGGTAAGACAGAAGGGACTTGATTTTGTCTGTCTCATCTCCTGGTGATTCAGGACAAGGATCTTTTAGAGAAGCACATGTATGGTAATATGTCTCTTTGTTTAAAAATGTAGTGCTTGTCAAACATCATTAAGCATGGGCCATAGTCCAACTACCACTTTCTAGCAGTGTAAGTGTTCACAGCATGTGCCGTGTCTGCCACATCATTTGTATGATAACAAGAGTATCTGGGTCATGAGGTTGCTGTGATGATCAATGAGGTGTATGTGTAAAGAACTTAGTATAATGTTTGATATTCTATTAGCTTTCTCCTGTCATCATTGCAGTTAGTATTGCAGTAATGTTACCTCCTGCACCAGTCACTCCCAGGTTCCTACTCTAATAGGAAACACAGTTTTATACAATGTTGTTAAATCATAGACCATGAAACAACCATGAGGGAAAGGAGGAAACAGAAAGCTTCCATCACTATTTTCTGTACTTACTTTGACCATCATATCCCAAAGAAGATGTGTCAAGAACATATTTTTATAAGGGGAATAGTTCACGGGGCCTCACTTAGACAAAGAACTACAGGGAACTAAGGGATGTTGAGAGTAGGGGAGGAATAGTCTTCCTCCATGGAGCAACCCCAAGTTGGTTATCCAATTCCAAGTGGTTATCACTGAAATCACACACACACACACACACACACACACACACACACACACACACACACACACACACCAGTAGAAATGAGGGCCAGGAAGAAGGGGGCAAGTAGAGCTTGCAATAAAGGAAAGGTAATGGAGGGAAATTATGTAATGATATTTTAATTAAAATATACTTTGGGGAGGTTATGTTTATTGTTTATTAACAAAAAAGACATATGAGAAGACAAATTAACCTTTATGCCTCTATCCCTGTTTCCACAGGAACTTGTAGACTTGGCTGGGCCTATTACTGTGCTGGGGGTGGAGCTGCTGCAGCCATGTTGATCTGTACCTGGCTCTCTTGCTTTGCTGGAAGAAATCCCAAGCCAGTCATGTTGGTGGAGAGCATCATGAGAAATACCAATTCTTACGCCATGGAGCTTGATCACTGCCTCAAGCCTTAAGCCTTGAAATAGGATTTACAGAAGAGGGTGGGAACGGGGAAAGCGAGTCCTGAAAAGAGGTACTAAGCCAAGGCAGCCACCTAATAGTTGTGTAGCCTAGTGCTTGCATGCTTTATAATCACTTGGCATTTATTTTCACGTTTCTGTAAAAACCCTAAGTCCATGCCTATTTATACAGTTCATCTAGCACAATGATTCTCTCAGTCACTTGTCAAGAGTTTCCACTGACCACCCAAGTCCAATTGAGACCCTTTATGCAAAATATGATTCTTACTTAAAAATTAACTGTAGAAGCAAGAAATTCCTTAGTACTATAAACCTTACTCCCCTCTTACTTTAAACCTTAGATGTCATTCAAGAACAGTTGTGTTCAGAGGCACTCGGAGATGGACCAACCTGGTTCCCATTCGTTCATTTGCATGGCTCTCTCTCTAATATTTATTGTTACCCACTATGCAAAACGTTCTCCGGCCTACACTTTGTCCCATTTTCCTCTCTCCTCATGTATGAGAAAGCTCAGTGGAAGGGTAACTTCCAGGGGGGAAAACACTAATCATGTTTGCTTGTATGCTATTGCCTGGGGCACCTTTTACATTATGCTTTAGAATAGTCATAGGAGTTAATTTTCTAATCTTCCTGGGCAATTGACATCAAAATATAATGGCAAGAGTTCCTCAATCCTTTCTAGATACAGAAATGTTGTTCATTGAGTGCTTTGAGTAAAGTCTAACATTTGTGAGGTGTTCAATAAATATGAAGTCATAGCAATGATAGCAAGGATGTTTTTGCTGTGCTCTCCTTGAAAATTTTACCCGAGTTTATTATGTGACTAGGAAGTCTGCAATGATATTTGTCCCAGTAATCATCTGTAGTGTGATATAAGTTTCCCTGCCTGCTTTATGACTGCTCTTCAAATCATCTCACTGCCATCTGGGGTGAGATAGATATAAAACAATACATCCATGATGTCACCTAGAGCTGAAGTATTTTTAGGCCTGGCTTGCATCCCATCTGTGATCAAGGCTGATGGATGGTGTAGAATTTGGTGTCTCCCAGGGGGAAGTTACTCTCACCCCTTCCTTCAGCTAATTAAGGCCAGTTATTCCCTAATTCTGGCTTTAGGAACTAGGGAGGGACTGTAATTCAAAAGACCAGCTCATATGTTTCTATTCCTAAATATTCCACCGTGGATTTAGTCCATCTATAGGGCAAAACCTAACAAACCTGGCCTGATTAATTGTAGACCATCTCATAGAGAGTCAGAGTTCTTATACTTGCTTCATGTATGCAACTAAATTCAAACATACACTCAATTCATAGTCACTCATAATTAACTCATTTAGTCATTCATTTAGGAAGCATCTCTTAAATATTTGACATTCTGTACAAGCACTAGGCTTAAATGATGAAAACAGTTTCTCAGCCTAGAATGAATACTGATGAGTTATCAACAAGTATGTCAATAAATAATTGTCAATGTGTTGTGATAGGAAATTTAAGATGGGGAGGAGGAGCTAAAAGATCACAGAGAAGCCACAAAAGTAAGCTGGTGGCTTAATGGCTTAAGGATTATAGGGAAGCTTTTTTTGCCTTTTTAACATGGAAGTTTATTTGGAGAAGGGGAGAGAAGGGAGACACACACACACACACACAGAGGGGAGAGAGAGAGAGAGACAGAGAGACAGAGAGACAGAGAGAGACAGAGAGACAGAGAGACAGAGAGAGAGACAGAGAGACAGACAGAGACAGAGAGAGAGAGAGAGAGAGAGAGAGAGAGAGAGAGAGAGAGAGAGAGAGAGAGAGAGAGAGAGAGAGAGAGAGACAGACAGATCAGACAGACAAAAACCTGCCTGCCTTCTCAGAGGAACAGGATAAGGCGGGAAGTTTTTTCAAAGTGATGACAAAGATGGGTTTGAAAGCCAAAAATGTAAAAGTGCAAAACAGAGACAGTGTGAGGATGAAAACCAAACTTAAAAACCAATTAATAAAGATGGCACTCTCAGTGAAGACTAGTCAGATATGTGCAACCCAAAGTAACGACTTCGAAATTTAACCTAAAGGATGGCAATGAAAAGTAAGTGACACGAGTGCATTTGCATTCTTCCAAAGATCTGGAGCAAAAAATTAAAGAGGATAGGGAGAGGCTACAGATATCTACGTAATCTAGGTGCAAAATGAATAAACTAAACTGAGAGCAAAGGATAGAAAGGAGGGATGAATACAACAAAAGATATAGATTGAGTCTTTCTACTAATTTATCATTTTTGTCCTCAAAAATAAGTTCCAGAGTATTTCCCCTTTTATGTTTTTTGGGGATAATAATCAAGAATGAGTGACTTATATAATCTATGCCAACATTCCAAACCAAATAACTCTGAAAATTCAAAGCCAGCCTAGACTGCATAGTGAGTTCAAGACTAGCCTGAGACACATGAGACTTTGTCTCAAAAAGCAAAATAACAACAATTACTATACAAAACAATATATGACACCTTAAATAGGCATATTTATTTGTTGCTTATTATCTTGGACATAGGTAATTTGGCCCTCACTGAAGTATATTAAAACTCAAACATTTGTTTTTATTCTTAAAGTAGAAATTTCAAAAAGGGATCCAATAACCCTAGACTTTTAAATACACTTTTAGTTAGATTTAACTTGTTTAATACATGACTTCTTAAATGGAAAAAAATTGGGACACTTAAGGCTCCAAGCATTTTGGATAAGAGATGCTCAATTCTGTGCCTAGAAAGTAAATTCTTCACCAATTTCTGGAAGTGAGGCCATGTAAAAGTTCAGAATGATCACCCTGGTATTTGGGTGCTATCAAGATGTAGATTATAGATCATAAACAACTGATGCTCAAATTCCTGCCAAATATGAATTCCTCCTAGAACACAGATTGATTTAATGTTTAAGGTAAAGCATGTTGACAAAACTTTCTGGAAATCAGTGTATCCTGAGTTCATAGCATCCACTTAACCAAGTAATGTGACTCAGTATAGCTAAAACAAAATGGTAACCAGTTTAATCCTCATATATATTATATAAACATTGCAATTAAATCTTAATTCATGAAAGTGCAGTCTATGGAGAACATGTTGAAACTGTCTGTAAAGGACAGATCATTCTCTTAGAAAGGGCAGCTCAACTAGGTGACCTCTCTTTTTAGGCTATGGAAGTTTGTGGAATTCTGTGGATGGGATTTGTGCAGGTGAATGTACACACTAGTATCCTGGGACAAAAATAGATAATACACAAGGAGTTTAGATGAGATAAGTGTATTGAAAGAACCACTTATGGTATGTGTAAGGTAAAGGGTTCCCACAAGCAATAAAAATTGACAAGCAAAAAATTCCTAGTAATAGAAGGGCTGACATCCCCATTTTTAAGACTGAAGAAGCAAAGAGAAGAAATGGCATTAATGGAACCCAGAAATAACTGTATTGGAAAAAAGAAAGGGACGACCTAATATGAGTTATGACTTTAGATAGCACAATGCAGTTTCTGCCTAACTGGAACACAAGGGGAAGGAGACAGGGTATGAAAACATGTCTCATTCTCTTCCTGCTCCCTGATATTCATCCAGTGCTCACCGTTAGCCAGTCTCAGCCAGATGCTAGATGGCAAGGAAATCTTTGCTATTGTTCATTGAAGTAAACTTCCATTGGTACAGAGTATGGCAGGCAAGGTCAAGGAATGGTGGTTGGTGATATTTGGGTAAATGGAAAATAACAACTCTATGAGGGGTTTGTATTCACCCAACTAACATTTCCTATTACACTGCCTCCAAGGAATTATTGTTTAGCTGCCCTTTCAGCCCAAATATCCAAACACAGGGAAGTAACTCTACTGGCTGGGGTGGGGCTTGGAGGGCAGTGCTAAGAAGGAGGGTGATAATTTAAACAGCCTTGAGGAGGGAAGACTACGAAGAATGGAGGAAGAGAAAACTGCAGTGGGGATGTATTGAAAGCACAAAGAAAAATATTTAAAAATGAGTTGTAGGTAGAGACAGAACATTTCCATATGTTTTTAGGAAAATGGGACCATGTTTGTAAAGGATTTTCCTCTTATGAGACAATCAATCTTGAACAACCACATTTTCAGCATAAATTTAAAGTTTCCCAACATATACCTGGTTCCATTCCACCAAGAATTCTTTTGTCATAAACTTTGAACTTACCTAGATTTTCCATACCCCTTACCCTCACACTGTGGTCTGGAATACTCTTGGATACTAAATTTGTGTCTCCTAGCTACAATGGTGTGGAAAGGAAAAAGAAACCATAGGTCTGGTGGCATTTTGAATGAGTGAAATAGGGACCTCAGAGACCCCCAAATTTTGAACAAGAAGGCTTCTGTGAATCAGACATTTTACAAATTGTCAAAAGAGCCTCACTATAGAGGATGCTGATCCCTTCAGAATGTTCCAGGGGTATAGTAGTAGTCAACATCTCTATATCAAGATTACCAAGTCCGACTGTTTGTTAAGGAAATATGTTCAGCTCACAGTTGTCAAAGTTCAAGGTCATGATGCCTGCTTTGGCTCAGTTCGATTCAAAGCTCTATTGGTGATATGATATGAAGTCGGATGGCAACAGTTGAACTTAGAGGATACCTTCTTACAGGATCTACAGACTCAAAATTCGGACTCAGGTTTTGATAGTAATTTATTCTCATGGAAACTGCAAGAGAACAATTTTAATCTCTTCCGAGAATATATATTTTAACATCCAAGAACATGCTGCTGAGCCCAACCCATTAAAAAGAACCCTCTCTTTAAACCAATTTTTCCATTCATGAACCTTTGGTTGAGAGAAAAACCATATCTTAACCACAGCAAGAGTGAAGTCTAGGATTCACTCTCTAGAGCAATACAAATGTGTATTAGTTTCAAGATTGACTTTATCCCAAGACAGCTTAGTGATGGGGAAAAATAAATTTCAAAGAAAGTAATAGTGGATGCATTTTATAAGAGGTGGAAGGTATCCTACTTGGTGGCCTGGGGGTGGGAAAGGTATGCTATTTCTAGAGCTCACAATCAATCTCCAGCCAGGCCCAGCAAGCAGGATGCTTCCAAGGCATCATCTCTGCCCTGTGTCCTTGGATTGAGAATATTTTCAGAACTGGAGGGGGTAGATCTGAAGTATAATTTATCCCTGGTCTGACCCTCAGATGTAGAGAGAAGCATTTTCAGCTTCAATTTTCTTTTTGTCTACTTATGAGATTAGACTCTCCCAGGGTTGATCTCTTTTCTAAATGCATCAAACCCCCACTGAGTCCTCAAAGCTAACAGCAAATAAATAGTTGCTATGTGTGCACACAAATGATTTAGACTTTCATTATATGGAGCTGCTGATATGCAAGGAGGCAGAAGTAGGAGGAGACAAAAATGTTTGCCTGGTTTTGACTGCAGTGCTATATGCTGCTGCTTTTTCTTCTCTGAAAGAAAGCCCTAGAGGACAGTGCTTGGGAGGGGGACTTTGATGCCAGGATCCTTGCACATGGACAGCACCCTGGTATTGTACCCCCTTTATATAGTCCCTATACTTTTAAGAGGTTCAGGGCAGTTACAGATGGGAAGCAGGAAAAAGTTCAAGAGGAACAAAATAAGGTAAATTAAGAACTAGTCATCTTCCTTTCAGCAAAATCGTGCTGCCTCCAATTCTTCTCTACCAGATTCTCATTTGGAGCAGTTTTCCTTGATAAGGTATCTCTTGCTATCATGTGCATTAAAAGACTTTCCTCTTAGGCAACAAGGCAAAGCAAAAAT